ACCTAATCCTCTGCCAGTGCCAGCCTGCCAAGACAGACAGTACCTGAAAGGAGGAGTGAGGATTGAAAGAAAAAACAAGAGACAGAAAAGATACTTGGGAGGACTGACAGTAGATACTGCAGCCCCGGTTTATTTCTCCTCTGCCTTTTTATACAGAGGAACTCAATTAGTTTCAAGAGCTGTTTTTCCCCACCTGTATCTGAGGGTCAAGGAGCATCAGATCAAAGTCTTCTTTGATCTTTTTGTTTACCACTATTGCCTCCAGGTCAGGTATTGTGAGGCTCTCCATATAAACACATTCCTCCTGAATACGTAGATTAGGTACTGGTATGCATAACACAAACTCAGTAAACAAGGCTGCCACAGCTCAATGTACATAATAGACTAGCAGTTCCCAACATCTCCCCCTTCTTTTTTTATTTAATAACCCCAGATTATGCTATATCTAGGACAGAAGGACTGTGCCTGTCTTAGGTTGTCTTCTGCCAGGGCAAAGCCTTACCTATCATCGGCACATAGATTCCATCAGCTAGGCCCTGTCTTAGGTTGACTTTCTCCAAGAACATCTTATCCGTCGTTGACTACCGGCCTCTGTTAGGGGAGGGAGCGCAATCTCATATCATGCACAGCTGCCTTGACTTGCCATAGGCATAAATAACTTTACTGTCACCAGATGAAAACAAAGACAGGAGGAAAAGCATGTAAGGTGGCTCTCAGCCTTTTTTAGAATATCTGCCACTGCTTACAGGGTGGAAATGCGGAGAAAATTTTTTGTTTTTTCTATTATCTCTTGGCAATAACACGCTGACATTGGTACAATATGCATTTTGTCCCACAAACACACAGTCATCTACTTGTACATACCCGGACTTATTTTTAACAAAACAAATAGGCAACCCGCTTCCCAATTATCTCTTGGCAATAACACGTTGACATTGGTACAATATCCACTTTCTCCCACAAGCACACAGTCATCTACTTGTACACACCCAGATTTATTATTTTTAACAAAACAAATAGGCAACCCGCTTCCCAATCCAAAATAATAAAAAATCATCGCCACTTGCATCATCAGGCATTTTGAAGCAGGCTGAGCAACTAAACAAGAGTCATTCACAGTCACTACTATCTCTTTTTCCTCCCATATTGCGGGGTGCAATATTGTGGATCAGGAACATAAGTCCAGTATAATTCAGCCAAGATCACTTGCGGGAACATTATCACCAGCCACGTTTGTCACCTCATCATTCTTTTCTACTTTTTCTTTGGTGCTCATCTGG